TTATGTATAAAGTTGTTCTATGCAGCATTATTTATGAGAGCAAAACTTTTAGCAAAACCTAAATATCCAACAATGTGGAATTAGTTCTATGAATTATTTTATGACATATAAAGGAATTGAGACTCTAATATAATATAGTAGTGGATGTTTAATATCTGAATTTTTTCACAAATATATATTAAGTGCAAACAGTATATTACAAATGTGTGTGTATATGTTTGCACTAGTAATTTCTAGGCATTGAAATTCCAAGCATTTTAATGTTTTTGCTGTTGTTTTCAACATTCTTCAAAATCTATATAAGTAATATGTATTTATTTATCTTAAAATATAATACATACTACAGGAAGAGAGCTCTTCCTGTAAGTGATTATCTGCAAGGTCTTATATGATATATTTTAAAAAGTAGAATAGGTTTTTAGTAGACTTTATGAGAAAACCAGTCCCACTCCCCGATGGCCAAACCTATGACTCACAGCAATATGAGTATAAATTCAAAGTGATATGAACACAAGAAAACGATACTTCAGAACACAAAGTAAAAATGTAAAAATACTTTAATGTGTTTTCCTGGGTTTGCTGTTTATTTGATGATAAATAAAAATAGCTACGTGTTGAAAAGCTATTTACTATAAAATAAATATTTTAAACATATTTTATTGTTTTGCATTCAAGAGGCATGTAATATGATAATTATTTTGGCACTCCATCCCTAGAATATTATTTACTATCGACAAAAAGAAAATATGAAGAAGTAGAGGAAATCTTACAATTCAAGCACAGTCTTTTATAGGTGTAACTGATTTATGTACCCATCTCTTAGTTTACAATTGTTGTCACAGAAGGAAGAATTCCAACAACCCCTTTATCCTGTAAAACCTAGGAATTGATAGTAATAGATGAAACTCAGAACTAGTGAATTATATTCTTTAGTGGTTTTACATTTATTATCATCTTCAAGCCCTAGTGATTATGCAAATACACTAACAAAAACATCCTAAATCCGAATGTGAAAGTGTAAATAGGCAGGAGACACTCAACCTAATTGTTGTTACCAATTTGTGCTTTCTAATTCCCTCACCTTCTCCCTTATCTCCACATTACATTGTTTTGTACACCTGAAACCAATAAAAAATAAGTAAATAAAAATAAAACAAAATCACAATGTATAAAAAAAAGAGACAGTGGGCCTTTTCTGAAATTATTTTTGCAGAGTTTTAGATTTAGATAAAAAAAGAGTTTGAAGGGACCAAAAAACTTACAAACTCCAATAACTTGATTTACTAGTAAGGAGACTGACCTAAGGAGAGCTTAACTAAGGGAGTGGCATTGCATATTTAGAACAATTGGAGAATAGGAATGAGAGTAAAAGTGTGGTTCATGAGTTTGTAACTTTGTTACCTATGGCAAAGTCAACTGATACTATTTTACCTTGGTACTACTCAACATTCCTCAGTTACAATTATCACATCTATAAAGTAGGATAATAATATAAAATTTAGTATACACTAATCAGTTATTAGCAGTAGAGTAAAAAATGGTATGGATAAAGAAAGACTAAAGATGGACTTCCTATGTATAATTTTATATTTCTTAAATAAAAAGTATTACTTGTATTATTAAAAATTAAAACATAGGGCCACCCGAGTGGCTCAGTTGGTTAAGAGCTTGCTCAAGATTGTGAGCTCTGAGCAACAGCAGTTCGAGTCCCGGCCTGAGCTGAGCTGCCAACAGGGGGCAGGATGGCTCACCTAAAAAAAAAAATTAAAACAACACTTTTTAAAATCATTGTAAGGATTAAATAAACTAAAAAGTGAAAATACATTAAATTCATTAGTGTACTATATTCTACTCTTTCATCTTAAATATGTAGTGAACATATAGAAACATCTGGAAATTCGATGTCATTTGGGAAAACATAGACAATTAACTGATAACTCCTTTTTCAATTTTAAAGATTTTGTGATGTGTACATCTGACTTTTGTCACTTGAGAGATGAACCTGTTTGAGGCAGAATAAGAAAATACTAACTAACATTTCATGTTACAATTGAAATCCTTCCGGCTGCAGCCCAGAAATGAAACTACAGCCCTGAACAAATATTATCAATTCTCATCATCATCTGGAGTGTCCTTTATCTCAAACTCCTGAGATCATCTGTTATGAGAGGCAAAAAATTGAAGTAGTTCACTTGAGCTCAAATAAATATAGTAGAACCATTTGAAGAAGAGTTCTTGCCTAAGACATACATCCCTAAGGCATTAGAAATGTTAAGATCACATACACATTGCTAAATTTTAAAATTTCCCTTCAAGAAATTCACTGTTATACATATTCAAGAGTTAGCCTTTGAAGGGGTGGGTGTACTTTTCTAGACTGCTTTACTTCTCTGAACTATATTTATTATGAAAGTAACTATTTCTAAGAATTCCGTTAACTCATTAATGAAGAGACAGTTTCAATAGAGGTGTATGTGCCTGTCTCTATTCTTTGTTTGCAATTTTATAGTAATCTTCATATAAGTGCTGTAACCTTAATATTTTCTTCACCTTTCATTCCTTACTGGGCACTACCCCACTTCTTTTCTTACAGTGCCATTTGAAGAAGGTAGAAGAGGGGGAAATTTTTGTGAAATATCTAAGTATTAAAATCCTGACTGTAATTTTTCTAATGTGATTGGTGCTTTGAGGGGAAAGAAGCTCTCAGGGGAGAGAGAGATGCAGAGATTAATGGGTGTGTGTGGTGGGGGAGGGGAGGATCTGAGTCTCAATTGCTTGTTACATCAATTCTGTTCACTTAAAATCAATTTATATATGTTCTCTGGGTCTCTTCACATACTGTATTCAGCAAGTTGAACAAACAAGTAACCAATTAAGTTTAAAAATGTGATTTTAGATGATTACCATCAACATTTTTCTTCCTAAAAAGCCAGAATTTTTTTTTTGTCCCTTCTTCATTCAGTCTTGCTTTCTATCAATCACAGACACTGCTTGAGACACACCTTCCTTTCTCATGCTGGTTCCTGAGGCCAAGAAGTTTCAGACCTGAGTTCAATTACAAAGAAACAGAAATACCTTTCCTTTTAGTTTAACTCCCCCTCTATAACTGCAGTTCTCAACTACATAGCGTTTGTGTGTGTGTGTGTGTGTGTGTGTGTGTGTGTGTGTGTATGTGAAATGGTTTCAAATTGATTAAGCTCTTTTCCCAGTTTCTACGTGTGGTAATGGGTTAAATTAAATAAAAATAGGATTGGTTTAGAAGTGTAATAGGTTTCCAGATAAAGGCCTCCCCACCAATCTCCTCTCTCTCTCCTCTCCCCTCTCCCCTCTCCCTCTCTCTCTCTCCCTCCCTCCCTCCCTCCCCAGATCGACCTGAGCCTTCTTCCATGCCCTTCCACTGATTTTCACCAGACGACAGCAAACATTTAATTATATGAAAATATTATATATAGATATGAAAACTGTCCCCCTCTCCAAGAATTAGCTGCTGGATCAAGAAAAAAATATATCTCTACTCTTCCCTGAATTTCTCTAACTCCAACCCTTCCCCCAAATCTTTTACTCCCAGCCTTTGCAAAATGCATATGCCCTTGAATATTTGATCTTTTAAGCAGATTATTAGCAAGCTTGTAACAGCTGTCCAAATTGTGAAAACCTATTTAAAAGGGAAACTGGTGTAAACATGATCTCTGCTTCCACTGAAGAAAAGACCAAGCAACAATTAAAAACAAAATAAAAGTCCTATAAATTCCAAACCCTAAAATGAAACACAGTTTTTAGAATGTATTGATAGGAAAGGTGTTGACGCTGATAAGAAAAGTCAGCAAAACAGCCCTCCTAAGAGGCAGCATTTTCATATTTTCTCTCCTCCCTGTTGTTTGTAGAACTTCGTTTCTCTACGTTTCTCTATGCTCCTTCTAAGTTTGACGAAACCAGCGACTCCTTCCCTGGGAAAAGCCTGAGCAGTGTTCTCCCTCAGCGCCAGTGACCCAGCCAAGCATAAGCGCGGAGAGCAGCTGTCCGCTACCTGCCCAGAATGTTTGCCCCAAGCCTTAGAGGTCGGAGATTGCTATCTCCCCCTCTCAAAAAGCAACTAGTTATTTACTTGTATGCATTTTAAATGCGACCGAAGGGATGTGGGAACTCAGTGTGTGCGTGTGCGTGTGTTCTGTGCGCACGTGTGTGTGTGTGTGTGTGTGTGTGTGTGTGTGTGTGTGTGTGTGTTCTGTGCGCACCTGTCTGCTAGTGGATTTTTAAGAGCACTCACGAGACATATTGGGATTCCCCCCTGCCCCCTCCCTCCTTTTCCGGTTCTCAGTTAAAGCTTTCAGGTCTGGAATCAAAGACGTAAGTGTGTGCATTGTGTTTTCATCCTGCAGCCTTAAATAACATTCAAGAAATATCATCAGAGAAACCTGACTCGCAGTGAAACAATTGACTAAAATTCTATACCAAGTTTTAAAAAGAAAAGTATGTGCCTAAATTATATACCTTGCAACAAAAAAATCCATACCCAATTATGCTATTATGTGAAATATATGATATTAATATGTTTCAAATACCCACTTTGAACATGCCAAATAAAAAACGGTTTGAAAGACATCAAAAACCTTAAAACACGCTGTGCTGCAGAAACGGAAGAAATGAATTTAAAGCACCGATGAAAATGGCGTGCAGTATAATTACCACAAATTGCTGTTCGCTTGACACCCTGACACTAATTTTATTCAAGCCATTGGAAAATAAATGTTTTAAAAGCACTCCTTTCTAAACGCTGGAGCTAGTGGGGGTTGTGAGGTCATTAAGGGAAGGAAAGGGTAAAGTTTCCGGCACGCAAAAAGAATTAAATAATCCATTTAAAATAAAAGCATCTATGTGGATCGACAGCCTTTAATGCCCATATTTTTAACGCTTGCCCTGTACGTGAATTGATTTTTTTTTCCCTTCAGCATTCCCTCACCAGATGGATTTTTGCTACTGCAGATCAGCAGAGGGTGTCAGATCTTTCAGAGTGCACCAGGCTGGAACGAGCAGAGCTTCTTAGCAACTCTCTTCTTCCCCCTCCTCCCCATTCTCGCGCTCTCTCCCTCCCTCAGACAACTCGCCCCCCGCTCTCCACCCACTCCACGTAATTCCGAAAGAGCAGAAGAAAGAGAAGGAGAACAAGAAAAGAGCTAGTAACCGAGATCCGGAGCTCAGGAAAAGAGGCTGAAGAGGACCGAAGGGGAGGAAAGGAAAGAGATGGACAGCCACAAAACGCAGCGATTGCGGAAATTTTCCAGCGCCATTGGCTCGGCAGCGTGAGTCCTTTCGTCGGGCGTGATTTCAGCACCGGGGGGACTGGACAGCACCTCGGGGGGGGTACTTCTGGGCAACCCTCAGCCACAGTAAGAACTCCATCAGCAGCCTCCACAACAGAAGCCGGCGAAAACCCTGCTTTGTATCAAAGAGGCAAGGTCAGTCCGACGCACAGCCATGCACAGGCAGTGCGCCTGTACTACGCTGCAAACCCTCTGCTTGTTTCTCTAACATGCACTTGCTTCTAATTACTAGCATTGTTCCTTTCCTGATTAGTGAGGACCACTAGACAAGATTCTGTAAGGGTGCAATTTTAATTTATACGTATATATTTAACTTCTTTTAAGGGTTGAGAGGGAGTGGGGTTATTTTCCTACTTTTTTTTTTTTTTTTGCTTGCCTTGCACTACGTGCCTGGATAGTTTGTGGATATAATTATTGACTGGCGCCTGGGTTATTGCAGTGCGGGGTGGGGGGCTAGGGAAGAAGGAATCCACCCCCACCCCCCCAAACCCTTTTCTTCTCCTTCCCTGGGTTCGGACATTGGAGCACTAAATGAACTTGAATTGTGTCTGTGGCGAGCAGGATGGTCGCTGTTACTTTGTCATGAGATCGGGATGAATTGCTCGCTTTAAAAATGCTGCTTTGGATTCTGTTGCTGGAGACGTCTCTTTGTTTTGCTGCTGGAAACGTTACAGGGGACGTTTGCAAAGAGAAGATCTGTTCCTGCAATGAGATAGAAGGGGACCTCCACGTAGACTGTGAAAAAAAGGGCTTTACGAGTCTGCAGCGTTTCACTGCCCCGACTTCCCAGTTTTACCATCTATTTCTGCATGGCAATTCCCTCACTCGACTTTTCCCTAATGAGTTTGCTAACTTTTATAATGCGGTTAGTTTGCACATGGAAAACAATGGCTTGCATGAAATCGTTCCCGGGGCTTTTCTGGGGCTGCAGCTGGTGAAAAGGCTGCACATCAATAACAACAAGATCAAATCTTTTCGGAAGCAGACTTTTCTGGGGCTGGACGATCTGGAATATCTCCAGGCTGATTTTAATTTGTTACGGGATATAGATCCCGGAGCCTTCCAGGACTTGAACAAGCTGGAGGTACTCATTTTAAATGACAATCTTATCAGCACACTACCTGCCAACGTATTCCAGTATGTGCCCATCACCCACCTCGACCTCCGGGGGAACAGACTGAAAACGCTGCCCTATGAGGAGGTTTTGGAGCAAATCCCTGGCATTGCCGAGATCCTGCTGGAGGATAACCCTTGGGACTGCACCTGTGATCTGCTCTCCCTGAAAGAATGGCTGGAAAACATTCCCAAAAATGCCCTGATCGGCAGAGTGGTCTGCGAAGCCCCCACTAGACTGCAGGGGAAAGACCTCAATGAAACCACTGAACAGGACTTGTGTCCTTTGAAAAACAGAGTGGATTCTAGTCTCCCAGCGCCCCCTGCCCAAGAAGAGACCTTCGCTCCTGGCCCCCTGCCAACTCCTTTCAAGACAAATGGTCAAGAGGATCACGCCACCCCAGGGTCTGCTCCAAACGGAGGTACAAAGATCCCAGGCAACTGGCAGATCAAAATCAGACCTACGGCAGCAATCGCGACAGGCAACGCCAGAAACAAACCCCCAGCCAATGGCATGCCTTGCCCCGGGGGCTGCAGCTGCGACCACATCCCAGGGTCGGGTTTAAAAATGAACTGCAACAACCGGAACGTGAGCAGCTTGGCTGATTTGAAGCCCAAGCTCCTCAACGTGCAGGAGCTTTTCCTGCGAGATAACAAGATCCATAGCATCCGAAAATCGCACTTTGTGGATTACAAGAATCTCATTCTGTTGGATCTTGGCAACAATAACATCGCTACCGTAGAAAACAACACTTTTAAGAACCTTTTGGACCTCAGGTGGCTGTATATGGATAGTAATTACCTGGACACGCTGTCCCGGGAGAAATTTGCCGGGCTGCAAAACCTCGAGTACCTGAACGTGGAGTACAACGCAATTCAGCTCATCCTTCCGGGCACCTTCCATGCCATGCCTAAACTGAGGATCCTCATTCTCAACAACAACTTGCTGAGGTCCCTACCCGTGGATGTGTTTGCTGGGGTCTCGCTCTCTAAGCTCAGCCTCCACAACAATTACTTCATGTACCTCCCGGTGGCAGGGGTGCTGGACCAGTTAACTTCCATCATCCAGATAGACCTGCACGGAAACCCCTGGGAGTGCTCCTGCACCATTGTGCCTTTCAAGCAATGGGCAGAACGCCTGGGTTCCGAAGTGCTGATGAGCGACCTCAAGTGTGAGACTCCAGTGAACTTCTTTAGGAAGGATTTCATGCTCCTCTCCAATGACGAGATCTGCCCCCAGCTGTACGCGAGAATCTCGCCCACGTTAACTTCACACAGTAAAAACAGCACTGGGTTGGCGGAGACCGGGACGCGCTCCAACTCCTACCTAGACACGAGCAGGGTGTCCATCTCCGTGTTGGTCCCAGGACTGCTGCTGGTGTTTGTCACCTCTGCCTTCACTGTGGTGGGCATGCTGGTGTTCATCCTGAGGAATCGAAAGCGGTCTAAAAGGAGGGACGCCAACTCCTCGGCGTCCGAAATTAATTCCCTACAGACAGTCTGTGACTCTTCGTACTGGCACAATGGGCCTTACAACGCAGATGGTGCCCACAGAGTGTATGACTGTGGCTCCCACTCGCTCTCAGACTAAGACTCCCCAACCCGGGTAGAGCAGGGGAGGGGGAAAGACCATGCCCCCAAACCCGACCCCGGCCAGCATCCCAGGGGTCAGAGAAGCCCTGCCCCTAGTCCAGCGCGCCCCAAGTCTTGATCGACATAAATAAACAAACTATGAACTCGCTGTACCGAGAAGGTCTGATCCCTTAGCTCCGTTTTGGGAACAAAGAGCAGGCTGTGGCTGGGATCGCGGTGCCAAATCGCTCTCTGCTGCGAGCCCCTTTCGACACAGCCCACCAGGGGGCCTGGTCTAAGAACTGGCAATGTGCTCCCACTCTGAGGAGGGGCTGGTGAGGAGGGCTGTCGTGGTCCTATACATATATACATATACCCACATCTATATAGAGAGATAGATATCTATTTTTCCCCTGTGGATTAGCCCCGCGAGGAGGGGGGCGTGATGGCTCCCTGTTGGCTACGCAGGGAAGGGCAGTTGCACGAAGGCATGAATGTATTGTAAATAAATAACTGACTTCTGAGAAAAACAAAAAGTGCTGCATGGCTCGCATGGAATCCACGCGCTCCAGGGACGCTGCCCTCCCCGGCGGCTGGAGACGGCGTCACGTTCACAGCACCCACCCTCTTACCTGATAAGTCCCATCGTATCAAACTTTCTATAAACAAAATACAGTATAATCAGAAAGTGCCATTTCGCCATTATTTGTGATCGGTAGGCAGTTCAGAGCGTTCGTTTACTGTGAAAAAGAAATGTAAAGGTTTTATTTAAGACATTTGCATGGCTAGTCATCAGTCCATTTTATGAGTTAAAAATGTATTTTGTTGAGACGTTTTATGGGTTGTTTTGGGTTCGTTCTTTTATTTTGATGGTGATTTTTTTTGTTTGTTTGTTTTGGAGGGGGAATATTTTTCTATACATATCCAATAATGCCTTCCATCTGAATGTAAAATAAGTCTCCATGATTTCTATTATAGTATCAGTGTAATTATTAAAAAAAAACGAAAGATTTTGAGGCAGTTAAGCATGACCAATTAATGTCACTCTAGTGCTTAGGCTGCGATCCTACGGTAGCAATTCTGTGCTGGTGTAAATCTTACTTACAAAGTAGGAAAAAAAAAACCGAGGAGGCACGTGAAACTTACTAATTCTATTCGAGGATTTTATAATGGCATATTTTTTCAGTATTAAAGTGAAAATGTTTTCAACTCTGGGTCCTTACATTTTTCCAGCTTCATATTTGCAACTGGTAAATTGGATTTGCGGTGGAAGGGACGGGGGAGGGGCACAGTTGGGGGTGGATCCTTCCTGGAGCTACTTTAAGGCTCCTTCTCTAATCCTCTTACTTGGCTTTTTACCTTTTAAGTAGTTCCCTTCCCCCTCCAACCCCACCTGGAGTTTTCCAGCCTTTCCTGTGGCTGAAGTGAGGTCTTCCCCCAACAGCGCCCTCCCTTTTTCTCCCGCTCCTTATGCGGCAGTGAATCCCTTTATTAATACTGGAAATCCCTCCTCCTGCTGCTGCTGCTGCTGCTGCTGCTGCTGCTGCTGCACACACTGCAGATATATTAAGGATGTTAGTAGAGATTTGATTTAATTGACTCTGCCTAGATCGGTCTCATTAAACAGAGTGGAGATTTCATTGGTCAGCACTCTTCGATGAAAGACAACCCTAATGAGTGGCATTTGAGATGCTGCTGGCGTTTTGAATTCAACATCTGCTGAAAATGGTAAAACTAATTAGTGCCCACCCACCCTCCCTGCCCCAGCAACTGCGTATTAAAATTTGTTAAAACACTTATCTTTATGGAAATCAATCATTATCCTAAAGAAGTGTTTCTCTCCCATCATTGGGATTTTGGGTTGTGGCCCAGTAATTAACAAGAACAGCATTGAACGGTTTGGGTTTGAATTTTATGAGCCAGTGTAACTCTGGCCTCAATCATATTCCTCTGGGATCTCTAAGCAGTCCATTTTTATCAGCAGTTAAGCGACAAAAAGCAAACAAAAGTACACATGTTGATGGGGCCTGCATTCCACCACATATCCACCCTTGAGAATGTTAAAAGACTGCAGACCACAGGGGGAAAAACAAATTATAGGATTGTAAATCAGCTAATGAAAGCCCCTAAAGCAGTTGTAAGAAGATTTGCCTTCTAGAACTCATATCTTAAAGAGAAATAATTTCCCAGAACAGTGATGTTCTGGAGTATGTATTATTTATTTTAATGCTTTTTAAAATAAAATCTTTATGACTATTCCTAAGGCCATTCATCATTTCCTCTCTTGATTCTTTTGTTTGTGGACTACATTTCATAGTGTTAAAATTGTCACCTACGGATATTATGGGTTGTTTTTTTGTTTATTTTCGTATGAAGGCCTTAATTCCTGTTATGGGAAGTAAAACTGGTTTCCTGGTAAATGAACAACAGATTTATTTGTGGTAGAAGAGTAGAGGGAGGGGAAGAGTCATGTATTCAACAATATTGTGACCCTAGAAGAAAAAGAAAAGATGGTAGATGTTCTAAGTCTCTGGTAGAAAGTAACACAACAAAAAATACCTAGTGAGTTATGATAGTATTTTTAAAAACTGATGCATAATTAATCTAAGTCAAGAAACAAGAATTTCTCCTAGAAGGTGTGCACTGGGGCAGGAATGTTTCTTCATGCTAATTAAAAAGAAATTATACTATAGAAGATAAGGTTAAACAGGTATAATTATTTTTTAAATATTAGCTTCAATGGTTTTTCAGTAGTCATTATATACTAGGCATGTGCTAAGGGGTTTACATTATTATTTAACTTAACCCTCACGACCACAGTATAATTTTATAAGATACTGCTATTTTCATTATATCAATGAGAAAATGGGGCTTAAGGAGAGTAAACAATAAATCAATTGGAACCTGCTAAATAGCGGAGCTGGATTTAAACTCCAACACCTCATTCTTTGAATGGAGTAGTCATATATATTTACCTGATAACCTCTTCAAGAAAGCTATTCTTGAAAACATAGATAGCTGTAAAAATACAATATAACAAATTAAGGGGCAGGTTGTATCTTCTTAATTGACTATGCTTTGGTGGCCCTTGGTATTTCCAGTATGTCTTGCACCAAAGAAAATTGTCCTACATTTAGAAAAGATAACATTAGTGTGCTCTCCAAGAGTGTATAAGATTAAACATATAAGAAAAAAGATGAATATTCTATTTGAATTTATGAATTATAAAAATTCAAATCAATAAATCTAATTTATATATGAATTCTAAACTATTAGGATTATCAAACATTTAATATATAATAATAAATGTTAAAATTATTTAGGAAAGATGTCCAATGACTCATATATAAGAACACTCATTGTAAGTATTAATATATTAATATAATTAGTTTGGTTTGCAAGATACATAATACATATGGTCTTACCATATAACTGTCATTTAGATGTGCTTAGCTTCTTGTTTTTGTTTTATCTTTGCATAAAATTCTTGTATAATTGTAGTTACCATTTGCTTTAGTTGAGATATCTTGTTTTGGATAAATCATCCAAAGGATAAATCATCCTGTAATTCACCAAAGTTAAAGAGATTTTAGTTGAGCCAGATGGAAAAGGAGGAAAGAAGGAAATATCTTATTTAGTTTCATTGCTTTAAAGAAGGTAATAGCTTCTGTGGCTTCTGCTGTAACTAAGAATATCTTAGAATTTAAGTTGTTGCCATAGAAATTTATTGTTTATGCATTTTTACATGTTTACCCAGGAGGAAGCTGGAATAGCTGATCTAACAGTAACATAACAGGATTCTTTTTTCTTAACAGTATTTATATCAGATTTAATTAGAATAGTCAGGCATTTTAATAATTATTAAAGTTATATTGGTGATTCCAAGAACAGTTTGTTAAATTAGCTTTTTCTATGTTGCTAATAAATGTTATTGGTATGTACAGAGAGATGGACAAATTTGCAAGGGTGAACACAGAAGTGTGTGTTTTTAATGTGTTGGTAGAATATTAAATAGAGTAGTTTCTAATTCTGCTCTTTTGCTATCTGATTTATAAATATTTTTTTATTTGTATGCTTATTTGAAGAAAAAAATGGATACATGAAATGTGCTAAAGAATGAGTTTTAGCAATTATTAATTTTTGGTCCATTTTCTCTCTTATTTCAATGTATTCCAAATGTAACATATTTAATTTTTAAAAGATCAATTCTGTATAATATCACCAGATATAGGAAATGCATACTCAAGATTTTTAAATTATATGGTTTCAGTGTGGCCCTAAACCATAAAACAAAGAAGGCTAAATTAAATAAATTTCACATAATCCCCTGGCATTTTCTCCCCTCTATAAAGTTGCTAAAATTTTTTATTATAAAAAGTAACACACAGGACATGCAGGACTTTCTTCTTGGTGTTCAAACTTAAAGAAATGCCACTAAATGGTTTCATGAAAGCACATGTTACAAACAGAACAATCCTGAAACCTGAACCAATATTGACTCTGTGATGGCCTATCAAAATTTGAGTGGGTTTCAGAAAAAATTAAATAGTTAAGATAATAACAAATTAAGTGTTTAAGAACTACAATTTTGTAATGAAATGAACCACTGAAGAAATCATCTTAGAATACTGAAGCCGGGTATAACCCCTTGGCCTAAATTGACTGGCAATTTCAATGCATTGGCTTAGACCTCAATTATGTAATTAATTACTCTTTTCCTTTCATTTACTTGCTAAATATATAATATATTACATACTTGAAATATAATCATATTTCCTTCTTGAACTTTACCCAAAGCTTACAGGATAACTATATAATAGCTTAAAGAATTTTGAATGAGTTAGAACCTAAATGTTCAATTGGCAATAATTATCGGGCAACTGCTACATAAAAATACTGTAGAAGCTCTCTTGGGAAAATAAAATAAGGCAGTATAGCCTCAAGGAGTTTACAACCTATAAATATACCATATATACGTCACCATAATTATAGACTATTATGCCATTGGCAATTTTTAAAAGATGCCATTAGAAAATTTTGTTTCTTTCAAATATGTTAGGTTTTTGGCCATTTGGATAAGTACAGTTGTCACATCAGTTTTATTAGCTATTATGCAGATAGTTAAACATCTTAAAACAATATTTTAAAATGAAAGAGGTACTTTACAAGTTTTACTTTGCTAGTTTATTTTCATTTCTTCTTTTATAAAATGGGAAAAATATCTGCTATTTTGTGACTTCAGTTTTCTGAGTAATCGTTCTAAAAAGAAACAAACAAGCCAGTTTTTACCTTAAGTGAATGACTGATAATTTTTTTCAATTTTAGGTATTTGAGAAATCAAATATAAGTTTAGAAACTTGAATAAAATATTTTAAGATAGCATAAGAATTTCAGAACAGTTGTCTCTGGGTATTTAGCTTTGATTTGTGTTTATATATTCAAAATAGATAACAGAAACCATAATGTCATATTATGTATACTTTTATCATTGTACTGTAAAGCCAGTAACCCCTAGCCATTTCTTGTATAGTAAAACCTGATCTTCAATGACTTAGTAGTATGTTCCAGGTGCATAAGTCCACAAAGGTTTAACAAACAGAATGCACTAAGCAAAGCCATGTATTTAATCAGTTCTATGCCTTATTCTCTTTGCCTCTAACTCCATTTCTTTTCTTGGCAGAAAAATACAGGAAGGAAACATGTTCAGCTGCAGCCAGCAATAGAAAAACTCAATACATAGTGAAAAATGAGAAGTGCCTCAAATGCAGATAATAAATGGTCAATCCATAGTGCTTTCAATGAAGCCGTCTCTCCCTCTCAGGAAAGGGGGATGAGTGGACAGGGGTCACTATTACCATAAGCAATAATGGATCTTCCCAGATTCTTTGATATTGATTGTGTACTTTTCTTTTTTAAGTCAATTTATTTTTAACATTTCCAAACTGCACATGATCTCCAGAAATAAATACTCATTATCATGATAGCAAGATGATTTAAATAGTATTACATGTACATATGTAGAAGATTTTGCTGCTTTTATAAAACAATTGGATTACAAAATGAGGGAATTTGAAACCAGTCATTGTCTACACATTACAGTATACTCTACCTGCTATAGTCCAGGTATTTAGTTTTATTAAAATAATTATTTTATATAATTATAAGTAATTCCACATGACTAAATTATTATACCAGAAATATTTTTCTGTATAATATGTTAAATGGTATCATAATTATTTGTTAATTTCTGTTAAGTTAGATAATATTTGTAGCTAATCAATTCAGTTGTGAGTCCAGTTAACTTTAGGTAATTAAATTTATTTAGCACTGGATTGTGTTTTGGTGGCCATACAAAAAATGGTTGAGTATAGTTTTGTCATCACTGAGTTAGAAATTTATGTTAGTGAACTTCTCAAGGTTCCTAAATAATGGATTTAAATTGGTTTAGCCTATTATCAGTTGAATTGAAAGAAAATGAAATTACTAAAGCAAAAAGTTTAATGCTGTTAATCTCTCTGTTTCCTGAAAGACAGAATATTTTTCAGTGTCTCAATACATGCTTTAATGAGGGAATTTAACCTTAGTTATTTTTTTGATCAGAAAATGTTACATTTTTTTTATTTTTAAGGAAAACTTTGGATGACATTTGTATTTTTCACCAAAATGGTCATCTCTCCAACAAATCAGATTTCAAGGTACAGATGGTATTTTGTATAATTAGACACTAAGACATAAGAAATAGAGTATTCCAAGAAGGTGTTACATCTTATGGTGTAATATCATGAGAAATAAGACTTAAAGCCAAGAAATTCACAGCTGGAAATAGCAGTTATCCCCAAGAAATGAATTACATGGAATGTTATATTACTATTTTAACTTAAAATTTATAACATCAAATTAAGAAGAAAGATCAGAGCACTTTTGAACACTATCTATGTAGGCATGCCATCACCTTTAGCCAGTCCAAAACTATGTATACCACAAGATTTTTGTAATATAGAACATTTTTTTCAGCATTTTTACATGGATAGTTAATAAAGTGCCTATTAAATTAACATCTCTGCAAGCTCCATTTACACACTTGGTGAGTAATCAAATACATAGACTAGAAATATAATTATTTTCTTTTATAAATGCAGGTTTTTCATATATCTTAAACTAGTATGACATATTTGAAGAACAGAAATTTCAGTCTATATTTATATTGTCTATTAGACCATGATTGAGAGATATTTTGACTACAACCTTTATAATAGTGTATTCT